AGAACCAGGTGGCTTAACCAGTGAATTCTACCAAAAAATAAAAGAGGAGGAAACTCTTCCAAACTCATTTTAAAAGTACAGTTACACTGATACCAAAGTGAAACAAGGATGCAACAAGAAAAGAAAATCACAGGCCAATATCTCTGGTGAACACTGATACAAAAAGCCTCAACAAATTTAGCAATTTTAAAATTGCTAAAGTAAATTTAGCAAACAAAATTAGCAAAGCAAATTTAACAATACATCAAAAGGATCACACACCCTTGATCAAGTGGGATTTAATCCAGGAATACAAGCCTGGTCCAACATCTGCAAATCAATCAGCATGATACATGATATTAACAAAATGAAGAATTAAAAAATCATATGATATCTCAATAGATGGACAAAAAACATGTGACAAAATTCAACATCCATTTATGATATTAAAAAAAAACCTCTCAACAAAGCCAAGTACAGAGGAACTATATCTCAACATAATAAAGGCCGTATCTGACACAGCCACAGATAACATCATACTCAACAATGAAAAGTTAAAAACTTTTCCCATAAGATCAGGAATATGATAACAATGCTCATCTTGCCACATCTATTCAACACAGTACTGGAAGTACTAGCCAGAGCAATTAGGCAAGGAAAAGAAATAAAAGGCAACCAAACTGGAAAGTGATAGTTTTGCAATCACTATTTACAGATGACATGATATTATTATATAAAGAAAATCCTAAAGACTACATACACACACACACACACACACACACACACACCTGTTAGAACTAATAAATCTGGTAAAGCTTCATGATGCAAAAATCACTATACAAAAATCAGTTCCATTTCTATAAACTAATGATGAACTAACAGAGAAATTAAAACAATTTCATTTACAACTGAGATTCAATAAACTGAATAAAAAGAATACCCAGGAATTTACTTAACCAAGGAGGTAAAAGACATGAACACTAAAAACTGTAAGACATGGGTGAAAAAAAAGTAAAAAAGATACAAACAAAAGAAAGATGCTCATGGATCAGGAGAATTAATACTGCTAAAATGCTTACTGTATTCAAAACAATCTTTAGATCCACTGCAATCCTTACCAACATTCCAAAGGCATTTTTCACAAAAATAAAAGTTTTAAAATTTGTATGGAACCACAAAAGACATGGAAGAATCAAAGTAACCTTGAGAAAGTAGGACAAAGCTGGAAGCATCATGCTTCCTGATTTCAAACTATATTATAAAGCTACAGTAGTCAAAACAGTATGACAATGACATAAAAACAGACACATAGCTGAATGGAAAAATATAAAAAGCCAGAAATCAATCCACTTGTATACTGCCAATAAAATATAACAAAGAAATGAAGAGTATACAATGGGAAAAGGACAGTGTCTTCACAAATGGTGTCAGGAAAACTGAACAGTCACATGCAAAAGAACAAAACTGAACCACTATCTTATGACACACATAAAAACTAACCCAAAAGGATTAAAGACGTGAACATAAAATGTGAAGCCATTAAACTCCTAGGAAAAGACATAGTAGCATGCTCCTTGAAATCAGTCCTGGAGACAATTTTTTGCATTTGACAAAAGCAAAAGCAAGAGAAACAAAAATAAACAAGTGAGACTACATCAAACCAAAAAGCTTCTGCACAGTAAAGGAAACCATCAACCAAATGAAAAAGTAACCTATAAAATAGGAGAAAATTTTTATAAATCATTTATCTGTTAAGAGATTAATATTCAAAATATAAAAGAACTCAATAGCAAAAAAAAAAAAATCCAATTAAAAAAATGGGCACAGGCTCTGAATAGACATTTTTCCAGAGAAGACTTACAAACAGCTAACACATACATGGAAGGGCACTCAACATCACTAACCATCAAGGAAATGCAAATCAAAATGACATACCCGTTAGAACAGTTACTATCAAAAAGATAAAAAACAGGCATCAGCAAGAATGTGGAGAAAAGAGAAAACAGTACCTTTGTGCACTTGTAGTATAAATGCAAACTGGTGCAGCCACTTCAGAAAACATCATGGAAGTTCCACAAAAAATGAAAACTGGAACTACCATATAATTTGGCAATTCCATTTCTGGGTGTTTATCTTAAGAAAACAAACACCCGAATTTGAAAAAGTATCTGTACCTCTTTGTTCACTGCAGAATTATTCACATCAGCCAAAAAATGGAAGCAACCTAAGTATTCACTGATTGATGAATGGATAAAGAAAATGTGGTATATATACAACAAAGGAATATTATTCAGCCATAAAAAAGAAAGAAATCTTACCATTTACAACAACATAAATGGACCTTGAGGGCATTATGCTAAGTGAAATAAGTGAAAAAGAGAAAGACTAATACCATATGATCTTACTTATATGTGGAAGCTTTAAAAATATGATTAATTTAATTGAACCAAAGATACAAAGAACAGACTGGTGGCTATAAAGGTAGGTAAGCAAAATGGATTCAGGTAGTCAAAGAGTCCAAACTTCAGCCATTTAAATAAGTAAGTCCTGGTATATTAAGTACAGTGTGGTTACTATAGTAAATACACAAAATTTACAGTATCATGTATTTGAAAGTTGCTAAATGAGTAAATCTTAAAAGTTCTCATCACAAGAAAAAAATCTGCAGCTATGTAATGGTAATGGATGTTAACTAGACTTATGGTGAACATTTCACAATATACACATATACAGAAACATTATATTGTATACCTGAAACTAATTCATAACATAACAATTATATCTCAATTTAAAAATGATTATTTACAAAATTTTTAAAATTCTTAATTCAGAAATCTCTGATTTTCTTTTAGATATGTATTAAAAAACTAATATTCAGGCCACACAACACAAATCAATAAAAGTTCTACACTTACCCATGTTTATTTCTAAAGCTACCAAAACATTAAATACATGAAATTGTTTTGGAGAAACATTTATATGGGTTTCTCTTAATAATAAACTTTATTCTCAACATAATATTTAGTACAGACTATTACTGAAAGAGAAAAAGGTTCCCAACTTTCTTTACTCTTACTTCCTCATTAAAATTAATATAACTTTCTAGAGAAACTGTAGTAAAACAGCAGTTCAAATCTCATTTATATCCTTTCATCATTCACTGTATACTTTTTGCAACCCTGCAATGTACTATTTATTGAGCATAATCATTTTTAAAGAAAACACAGAATTATAGCACTTGCCTTCAAGAAGTTTACACATAAAAAAATTAGAGTACCAATGTAAAAATAAAAGATGCTAAAAACATATGATACAAATGGTAATTTCCATACACAAACCAATGGGAACTCCAGGAAACAGAATTCAGTCACTTTCCATGTATACAGCATATGACATTTTAATATAGAGTAAATGAACTACCACACAACAAATATCATCTTTCTTCCCATTCAATAAACTCAATGTAGTTTATCAAAATACAGAAGAAAACTGTGAAAGATTTTTACATGGACAAAAGAATTTATTGAATAGCCTTTCAATGGCATGCTGGGACCTCCAGGGATTACTTGATTCAATAGGGAGCTGTGTGGGGCCTGTTTGTTTTGACTAGACTATTTCACATCTATTAGAGTAGAAATTTGCAATGGAACATTATGCTAAAAGGAAAATATCAAGAGAAGAAACTAACAGAATTCTATGAATGCCTTATAAACAATGAATATGCTCAAGTAAAATCATATGCTAATAAACTGAAGTAAGTATTCGGCAATCACTGAGTGAAAAGGCATTTTCAAAAATAAAATATGTAAAATCTTTTCACAAACCTACAATGACAAATGAACATTTGCCTTCAATTTGGATAAGAATCACTAACTTTTAACTTTAATTAAGTAAAATGTTATTCTCCACAAAACAAATTTCATTGTTCTTATTGATGGATATGAACTACAAAAAGTTATAAAAGATTAAATGGATAACTCAAACTTATGGGGAAAAACTACACTGCAAAGGATTTTTCCACCTAACTATTAACAAACAAAAACTGCTTTTCCAGTATCTCAGTGAATGTAAACTCCATTCTTCAGGTTGATCAGTCAAAAAACTTGAAGTCATCCTTGACATCTCTATCTCATTCTCTATATTCATTCATTAGCTTAAAAAAAAAAAAAGTTGGCTTTATCTATGAAACTATTGGTACATTCAGAGTTTAGCCATTTTTTTACATCTACCATCCTGGTTCAAGCTACCATCATTGTCCATCTATTATAACAATCTTCCAACTGATCTCCTATCTCCTTCTCTTGTGCCTCCTTCTTTAGCTTACTCACAGCAATGAGAGATTTCCTATAAAATTTAAGCCAGATCATGTCACTTCTTGGCTAAAAATCATTCAACGTTTTCCCAGCTTACTCAGCATAAAAAACCAAAGTCCTCATATAATGGAAGACAAGAAACCGCTTCTCTGATCTCATCTTTTCCCAGTTCAGTTTTGGCCACATCCTACTCATGTTTCTTCCAACTTGCTTTTTAATTCTATGCCACAGCCTTTAACTTGTTCTTCCACTGCCTAAAATTAGCTATTCCCAGGTAAACACACTCCCTCACACCCCTCAGGTGTCTGCTCCAATCTTAACTTCCCCTAGAGGCCATCTTGCCATACTATATAGCGAGCAACCCTTCTTCAAACTGCGTTCCACCACTCTGCGACCCCACCACTCTGCATCATTTCTACAATGGCATGTACCACCACATGACATACTAAACATGCAATTACTTGCTACTTCTCCTACCTCATTAAAATATAAGCTCCATAAAGGCAGGAAATGTGTGTGTTTTATTCATAGCTCTGCCTGAGAGTCTAGAATAGTGCCTTGAATAGATTATTTGCTCAACAGGTATTTCCTGAATAAATGAGCTAAAGCAACAGCAAAAAACTTTAATTTTGTGAGTAATGCTTCCTCTTTTCCTTTTCTTTATGTAAGTAAAATATACATACACACACATGCATAGAACTGATTTACCATTGCACTAAGTGTTTCCTCCCAGTCAGGCCGCTCTCGAGGGTGAACGTTTCTGTGTAGTTCTGGAACAAAATCATCCTCTTCAGAATGTACTGAGGACTTCATCTTCCTAGAGACCAAAACATGAAAGACTGTGATAAGAATTCCCATTTCTAAGAAAGCCTTCCAATGACTACAATCCAAAGGATACATCCAGACCTGGATATTTCCAATCCAAAGGAAAAAGAGAGAACACCACTTTCTTTAAATTGTGGGAACAAGCTTTACCAACTTGCTTTTTCCCTCATTAAAAAATTATTTGATTCTGACACAGACTCATTTTCTATTTTTTGAGATTCTTGTTCATAACATAAAAAACTATACTTGATAGTGTAAAAGTTCCAAGAGAAGTCTAAGAAACACATTGCTTGAGAAGTGACCTTAGGGGCTGCTTACTCACAAGCATATCTTTTCTTGATCTCTGGAGTAAATTCCAAGCAGCACTACAATTCTGCTTTTCTCTTTCATTCCCCACAGCCTTTGTTTCTGTTTATTTCTGGTTTTAGTCTATTTAGGTCTGCTTGTGAAAGAACATATTTAAATTCTACTGAAGAGAAGAACATCTCTGAGACGCACGTGAAGTGGTCAGTTTGGTGTTCTGTTTAAGTTGTAAAACTGAAGCTACAAGGTGGCTATGTGTCTGTAAGTGATAAAAGTTAGTATCTGTCATCATAGGGAGTTATACTTCCCTATCTTCTGAGCATATTAATATATTAGATTGTAAAGCCCCTTAAAAGATTAAAGCTCTGTTTCATCTGATTTATATGGTCTATTAAGTGCTTACATAAATCTAATATTCCCAGAATTCCCAGAAAATAAAGAAACTGAACTTCTGACACTAACAAGGTTAGCTATGTTGGTGGTGAAAACGGAACAGAGGTTTACTGAAGGTAGAGTTTTGGTGATTTCCAAATGAAAATGCCTGATAAAATTCTTAGTACGTACAATTTTATCATGCAAAAATCTAAAAAAGTATCAATAGGTATATAGCAAAAAATCTTCCTCCCTTCCCTGTCTCCAGTCTGCCCATTAAATTCCCCACTTTATATGTTCTTTCAGACTTTATGAATATATATATATTCATACACATAATTTTTCATAAATATATATATTCATAAAGAATATATATTTTTCTTAAAGACTATATCCACAAAAAGCAAAGTATAAAAGCAATGTATAAATATGCTACTCTTTGTGTAAAAAATAGGAGAGTAACTTTATTCCTTCATCTCCACCCTACTCTTTACACCTGTGTCTCGCGCATTGCAGGGTTCTCCCACATTGCAGGCAGATTCTTTACCATGAGAGCCCCCAGGGAAGCCCCCAGAATACTGGAATGGGTAGCCATTCCCTTCTCCAGGGAATCTTCCTGACCCAGGGATCAAACCATGGTCTCCCACATTGCAGGGAGATTATTTACTGAGTCACCAGGGAAGCCCATGTTGTTCAGCAGCCAAGTTGTGCTCAACTCTTCACAACCCCATGAACTGCAATACTTTTTACATAAAAAGTATCATGTTTCACACTGTTGTGTAGTTTTCCAATATTTTCTGAAGCACTTCCCATATCAGAATATAAAGAGCTTCTTTGCTATTTTTACAACTGTGCAATATTCCACTGTGGAATATCATAGATATTCCATAATTTAACTCATCTATTACTAGTGAATTCTTCAATTATTTCCAATCTTTCACTATTACAAACTATACTACAAGTTTGTAAGATGTCATTTCAAGATATGTTCAAGTATATATGAAAGGCAAACACTCAATGATGAAAAAAATTCCTTTTATAAAGTAGCCCATTTTTCTGTTGGATTTTTTGGTCTTTTTCTTCTCTCTTTTTAAGTTCTTTAAAGACATCAGTTCTTCATTTGTAATATGAATTCCAAGTATTTTTAACAGGCTGTCATTTGTCCTTGCTTATTTTGTTCTCTATAATGCAGATGTTTTATATTTTATGTAGCTAAATTCCACAACCCTGAGTTTTACATTTTAAGTCATTTCAAAATGCCATCCCTGATCCAAAACCTATTTTTTTAAAGCTTTCCCATGTTTTCTTTTGAATTTTTCGTGGTTTCATTTAATACATTGTACCTTCTTCAATTATTTGGAAATTATCCTTGGTATGAGGCAGGTCTCCAATTTTCCTTATTTTTCACAGATGCATATTCAGTTCTCCCCCCCAAAGAATTCAATGATTAGTACATAATGTTCCCGTTGGCTTTGGAGAGGCCATCTTTACCATATCTTCCCATATATTAAGGTAAATTTCTAGGCTTCCCATTTCACCCCCTTATGCCCTCTATTCATACCAGTACCACAAGGTTTTAATCACTGAAACTTCATACCATAATATCTGGTTGCACTAATCCTCTTCCTAGCCTTGCTTTGTTCTTCTCCCCAAAGTTTCTTGACTCAATTATTTAGTCAAGGTCAATTTATTTCAAAACCAATTTACCTAGGTTTTAAAAAAAGCACTGTTATTATCACATTAACTTTATAATAAATTAACATCTTTATGATATTGCCTATTTTGTTATGAATAAGGTATATATCTTTTCTTTTGTTCCAAACTTCTATGTCCTTCAGCAATATTTTAAATTTTCTTCACATAGATCTTAAGAACTCTTTAGTAAGTTTATTTCCGAGCATTTCATCTTTGTTGTTGCTCTTAAAAATGGCACCTTTTCTTCCGATATGTCTTCTAACTGGTTACTGTTGGATATACTGTTAGTAGCCCTGTTTTGCAAATGGGAAAACTGAAATGTATTAACACATCGCAGGCATTCCAGATGTGATGGGCCACTTTCTACTAGAAGATCCCCCTCCCTGAAGAGGACCCTGAAACAAGCAGTTCTCACCTCTGGAGACCCACTGGACTGGGTGGCGGACACCAAGATCCTGCCTCACTGAATGCGCCCCTCAGAAGCTTTCCCTCGAAAGCCGTGAAGAAAACTACCAGTGAACTTCCCATTCAAGACTGCATATACGTTGAGAAATAGAGCTTTCCTTCCCTAAGTCTCTGAAAAGGCAGTAAGCCAAATAAAAGGAAAATAAATCCTTAAAAGATTAACACTGGGTGGGATCAGCAGGCCAGAAATCTTCAACTTCTGGAAGACAAAGAAGCAAATGGGATCACACTGACTGGTAAACCAGTGGAGAATAACAGAGGCTCAAGGAGGCTATACTCCCACTTCTCCCCACAACAAAAGAGGTGCCTGCCCCCAAGGAATTAATAAAAACTGGAAAATTACTCTGTAAATAAATTTAACAATCAATTAGAGGGACTAGGGCTATTAACAAGGGTGTGTTCACCTAAGAAAAGAAAGGCAGAAGCTATATAGTATCATGGGACCACTGGACAAAATCCGAAGTGGGGGTGGGGAGACAGAGAAGGGCGATATTGACCTGAGCAGTAAAAAGCTACGATTCTTTCAGCCAGAACAAACAGAACATGCATACTTAGTGCACAGGCTGCAAAGTTAAAGCAGAAAGACAATAACCTAAATTGATTATTATATAAATATTAAGTCAGTGATACATAAGAAAAGAACACTTAAAAATTACTTCTCCACTCAAACTGAATCTGAAAGATTAAAGAAAAAGATGAAATTAATGGCCTAAAGAAGAAGTATAAGAAATACCTCAAATCATAAAATCAAAATGTGAAGATAAACTGGTCACCTGATGCAAAGAGCTGACTCACTGGAAAAGACCCTGATGCTGGGAAAGATGGAGGGCAGGAGGAGAAGGGGGCAACAGAGGATGAGATGGTTGGACGGCATCATCGACTCAGTGGACATGAATTTGAGCAAACTCAGGGAGATAGTGAAGGACAGGGAAGCCTGGCGTGCTTCAGTCCATGGGGTCACAGACAGACATGACTTAGCGACTGAAAAACAACAATGACAGATACATCATGAAAGAAACACTAAGGAGATAAAATACGCAATAAACAGATTCCATGAGGAGAAAATTATTACTGATAAAAGAGGTAATAATTAAATTAATAATAAAATTCTAAAAATCTTTCCTAATATGAAGACTTAAGTCTACAGACTGAAAGTCACTGAGGTCCAATTGAAGATTTAATAACAAAATACACATAACTAAGAATAAAAAGAAAATTTTAAAAGCATTCAGAAAGAATAAGTTACCTTCCAAGGAAAAGAAAAAAAAAATAAAATAGCAGTGAGTATATGCAAGAAATCAGAGTACATCACTCATAGAACTTATCTGAACAAAAGATTCAAGAAAATATCAACTAAGTAACAAATGGACCAGAACAGACACATTAAGATGGAATATGATTAAAAAGGAGAGGAAACAATGACACATATAACTAAATCTGACTGAATGGCAAAACAGTAAAATCATTTCAGTGAAACACTGGGCTTGGGGACAGAATTTGTTGTATCGTCGCTAAGTCATGTCTGACTCTTTGCGACCCTGTGGACTATAGCCCAACAGGCTGCCCTGTCCATGGGATTTTCCAGGCAAGAATACTGGAGTGGGTTGCCATATCCTTCTTCAGCGGATCTTCCCGACCCAGGGATTGAACCTGCTTTGCCTGCATTGCAGGAGGAAGGATTACCTGAGCCACCAGGTAAGCAGGGGCAAAATGGCGATAAAAAGACTCATCCGGGATTAGGGGACTAAGAGAAGTACTCTAAAGACCTTATCTTAAAAGGAAGGGAAACAGGGAAGAAAAGAGAGAGCTAAGATGGGGGAAACAGCACATGGGAGTGAAAGAAACTGATTTGAAAATATGAGCGTGTGGAAAGGAAGCTAATCACTAATGGAAAGTAAAAGTGTAACAGGAAACTTCTAAAATTAACTATCTAGAAAGGCTTTCCTTGTTCTGATTGCAGTCTTCCCAGGTTTGTCACTTTATATATATTTTTAAAGGATATTGACTGTACTACATTTATAAACAGAGCTTTAAGTGTTTCAAGGAATTTTAATTACTAAGTTTGAACGTGCAATTGACTATTTGCGGGGGCTTAATGCTTAAGCTGAATCCAAAACTTAAGGAGAAATAAGATTAAAAATTTTTAACTTTAAGTACACAACTTAATAATCAGAAACTCTGATATAGTTTTATAATTTTCTGTGCTTTCAGGCCCTTCTTGTATATTTAAAAAAAAAACAAAAACTCATACAGACAGATGTAAGAAAGGTTCACCCTGGATTCCATCCCAAAGAGTTTAATTAGTGAAATACCAAGAAAGTCTTGTACTAGCATGCTTCACGGTTAAGACAGACTCATTTCACCCATTAAAAAGGACAGCCTAATGACTAGACTCCAAGACTGAACAAAATTTTCCGAGATTAAGCGATGTTCATATCAGATTCCGATTACCATTAAATTTACTCTTTATGTGACACTGATGAGATGACTGGGTGAAAGTTATAGTTCATATTGAAAGAATATTTCAGGGAGTAAATTATACTCCAGATCACAAATCCAAAGTTACAGAGTAATAGAAATATCTCTTTTGTTTTTTTTGCAAAATGCACATTTTGGGGGGTGGGTATTGTACATAACAGATTATTAAGGGTGTGATGACTATGAAAAGTCACAGAGTTTAAAATAGGTCTGGGTGTGATACTGATATATATGTCAATGATAAGCTGTTATTGCTACCTCTCTATCCTGGGATTCCTAAAATGAGAAATTTCTATAGAAGACAAAAGAACAGTAAGCATATTAAAAGCAAAGAATTGTGAGTTTCCAGAGGAATTTAGCCATTAAAATAGCCACCCTAAAAAATAAAATAAAATAAAATAGCCATCCTAGATCTGAAAGAAGATCTAGATCTGAAAGATCTAAAAGAACTAACATATTCCTTGTTACCTATTTGGACTGCTGCAAAATCTTTTAATTCAAAATCTTCTAACTTTTACCTCATTTCAAATAAGGCAGAGAATGAATAAAGCAACCAACTAACCAACCAATCAAATGCATGAACCATTTATTATTAGCTTTATGATGCTATAAACCAACAAACACATTTCAAAAAAATTAAAGTATCGCCAAATTATCTAGCTTAACTAGAATCAGAAGCTTCTCTTCTTAAAAACAACTGTCTTATAATGGAGATAAAAGTGAAGATCTGATTGAGATCTGGGCATCTGTAGACTCTGATTTTTAAAGGTATAGAAGTTCTAAAAATGTGGTTTAATTATACACACATATCATCTCAGTAAATGTTTCAAACTCTATGTCATTGTTTGTCATACATACTAGGCTATGTATCTACAATAATGTGATACTAGAGAACACTAATCAAGGTCATATGATAAACCTTTCTGCCCTCAAATGCCAAAAAACTAGACCCTCTCATGATCATGAGTCAGTAACAATTCCCAGGTGTCCTCCAGGTCATATCTTTAAAAGGTCACATTGTTGCATGCACTATTTCACTTTTATGTTGGCTACATAACTGATATATCACTAGTGCTCAAAAATTCCTCAAAGAAGGAATTTCAGAACTGAGAAATAAGCTGTAGCTTCTTAAAGGTTGTTATTTACTAGAAAATAACATTTAGCAGCAGATATAAAATTTTTTTTTATCAAACTGAAGTCTTTTACCTTCAAAATTAGTTACACTTATCTACACATACTGACAATATGGTTTATGTGGCTGTCTGAGCTACAATTTCCTCATCTGGAAAATGAGAAATAACAATACCTACTTGTTAATTGGCTATACCCCAAAACAAAATTTTAAAAGTTTTTTAAAAATGTAAAAAAAAAAAAAGAATGAATTTTAAATCTAATTCCTAAGTTATTCGGAGAAAAAGAATAGTACACAATCTTCTGCCTTTTTTCTGAGTGTGTGCATGCATGGAAATTAGACTGTAATCATAACAACATTTTAGTTAATGTATATCAGCACAGATTTTAAAGAAACAGGTAAAACATTTCTGTATTTTTTAACTATTAAACTGATTTTACAAAAAAAAACTGTCACACACAACACTGAGTTTACCATTGCTTTTCTCAAGGTTACAGCTACAACTCCCACTATCGAACCCTCACCTTCAACACCCACGCACATTTTTTCTGCAAGGCATCTCAGCTGGAACATCAGGGTGAACACTATGCAAGCACTCTGCTGCACATTTCCTCATGTCTGACTGCTGAATAGGTGAGAAACACTACATGAAACATGGCCTTGCCTTGATCTCTGTCACCCTTATAAATAAAATAAGATCAAATCTCAAAGACATACTTGGTTTGGGAGAGTCATCATGACAATCAGATATGAAATAATATTGTCAACAGGACAAATGCCCTATGGTGTCAGGGTTTCCTAAAACAATGCACCACCTAACTCAGTTTCTTGGGAATGAAAATGTGGTCCCATGGTCCTAAGGAGAAGAAAAACTCAGGCCTACACAGATAAACTGTCAAAAGAAAACCCCAGACTGCCTCCTGTTGCCTCGCAAGTAAATGGAGGATCCTGGAACCCAGTCCATCACAACAAGGACCAGGCTGTCTCCTCCTTTGACAAATAGGCCGAAATAACTTCCACGACTTTAACACTAGGCCAAACAGTTCTCATACAATAAATAGCTTATTCCCACTGACTGTTCATGACACACAGATCACATTTAAAACTATGGAATATGTGATGCAAAACATCAGCACACCTTGGGAGAGAAGTAGCTGAGGCCAGTAAGAAAGGCTAAAATAAAAACTACAGAGAGAATGAGAAAGTTGACACAAAAAAAGAATTTCACATGCTAATGAAATGTTCATTTTCATACTTTCATACTTTGAACACTGTGAATTATTCTTTAAAATTTAAAACATACTTCCTATTCATTTTAACCCACACTAAATTTGTTAATCAGTGGTTATCAAGAGTTCCTAACATTCAATGAGATATATGTGAAGTGTCAGGCATTGTTCAGGCATGTCCGACTCTTGGCAACCTCATGGACTGTAGCCCCCCAGGCTCCTCTGTCCATGGAATTCTCCAGGCTAGAATACTTTCTCCAGAGGATTTACCCAGGGTCAGAACCCAGGTCTCGCGCATTACAGGCAAATTCTTTACAGAATGAGCCACCAGGAAGCCCCAATAGTCAATCTCGCCTGTCATTTGACCTAGACTTTAAAAGTAAAATCTGTGAATAAAGAAATCCACTGAGAAAGGAAAGACTCTTTTTAGAACACTAAAGACAAGATCTGATGAAAATAATGATCCGGTCTCCTACCCAACTACCCATAGATAAAATTGTAAAAGGTGTTTTAATTGCCCATGTGGGTGGCAGTGATAATATGTAGTACAAACTTCTTCGAGGTTTTTTTTTTTTAGTATCTCCAAAAGAATTAATTTGTTACACCTGTTGAAAAAGAAAAGCCAGAATAAGGCCTCCTAAAATTATAACAGCACACACAAAAAAAATTAATACACAAATGGTACTGTAAGTACAAGGAGGGTGAGACCTCTTTCTTCACTAATGCACTGAACTTGGGAGAGCTGCTTAATCAGGTGGCCTTCCCAAACACTTCATTTATGAAGATACAATTAGAGATCATACCAGGGGCAGGTGGGACACGGAGAGCTATAAGGTAAGTGAAATAAAAGGTCAGAGACTTTGATCCATGAAATAACTAATCTGGACATAATCAAAATATTTCATACACAAGAATAAGGGAACAAAAACAGCCCCAGTGACACACACACACACACACACACACACACACACAAACATATTCCCAGGAAAAAGAGGAAGAAAAATCTCTTAGATTCAGATCCAAGTCACTTCTGTCAGGTGCAAATCAGATACAGGAAGGGGTAATAGTTCATTATGAGTCTCTACCTGAAATTCCTGAAATGCTACTACAAAACCTGTCTAACACCTTCTCCTCCTGGTGTTCTAACAAGTCATTTAAAATGCCTTTTACAAGCTCAGGGCAAGTTGTGGAATGAAGAATGCTATATACACAACTAGAAACCCGTCCTCTTCAGCTCCAAATCTTCCCCCAGAGAAAAGAAACCTTACTGAAAGGAGGTTAAAGCAAAAACGATGGGAGGGTTGGGGAGCACAGGTGAGGGAGGTGAAGAGAGGGACAAAGGTGAGACAGAGAGAAAGAACGGACTGTGAATTCCGTATTTACCTGAAATGCTCTTCCCCTTCTCCCTCTTCACTGCCAGTCTCCTGGGTTATAACTTCCGAATCCAGCCAAAACACACTGTCATCTCCCGATGTGCTACCCTCACTTTCGGTCTCCATCGTGCGTCTTAGAAGTTTAAACCTCAAGGCATGGGCAAAAAACAAAGCAGGGTCCAGGTTGTTCAGCTCTGCTGATGTACACAGAGGTGTGCGGCCGGGGCGCCAGTAATGATGTGATCATGCCGGGCCACAGGCTATTACGCGCAAGGTTAATTACAGCTGAGGCAAAGACAGGAAGTCCCACGAAGCGCCTTCAGTGTGTCAGACTGCTACACCTGGGACACTGGACCCCTCCCACTGGGGAGGCTGCATGACCTACATAGCCAAACACTCAACCCAAACGCAGGGGAGTCTGCACCAATTCCTAGTCATTTAATCATTGTTTCTTTCTTCTCAAGGTTTCTAGCTATTAAGTTCAAATTAGAAATTTTCAAGATTCAGACTTTTCTTATCTATATCCTTTTTCTACCTCAGACTTTATTAATTTTTATTAGATAGAGTAGACCTGAAAAGCACTGTGAACCAATTCAACATAATTAAAATTTATACAATTTTCACACAACAGTAGGATACAAAGTCTATTCACGTTCCCCTTAAATTGAAATACAGCTGATTTACAATGTCCTGTTAGTTTCAGGTGTATAGCACAGTGATTCAGTTATACAAATGTGTGTGTGTGTGTCTGCGTGTTCTTTTTCAAACTCTTTTCCCTTATAGGCTATTACAAAATTATTGAGAATAGTTCCCTCTGCTATACAGTAGGTGTTGGTTAACTATTTTATATAGTAGGGTGTATATGTTAATCTCAACCTCCTAATTTATCCCTCCCCCCCTGTTTTTCTCCTTTGGTAACTATAAAGTTTTTTTCTAAGTCTGTGGGTCTATTTCAATTTTGTAAATAAGCCCATTTGTATTTCTTTTTTTAGATATAAGCAATACCATATGACATTTGTCTCTGTCTGACTTCCGTCATTCTGTATGATCATCTCTAGGTCCATCCACGTTGCTGCAAATGGCATTACTTCTTTTAACTTAAGCTGAGTAATATTCCATTATATATATGTACCACATCTTCTTTATCCATTCATCAATCAATGGACATTCTGATTGCTTCCATGTCTTGGCTATTGTAAATAGTGCTATGAACAATGCGGTGCATGTATCTTTTTTAATTATAGTTTTCTCCAGATATATGCCCAGGAGTGGCACTACAGGATCATACAGAAACTCTACTTGAAGTCTTTTAAGGAACTTCCAGACTGTTCTCCATAGTAGCTGTACCAATTTACAATCCCACCAACCAGGCAGGATGATTCCTTTTTCTCCACACCCTCTCCAACATTTATTATTTGTAGACTTTTTGATGATGGCCATTCTGACCAGAGTAAAGTGATACCTACCTCATTATAGTTTGGATTTGCATTTCTCTAATAATTAATTAGTGATGTCAGGCATTTTTTCACGTGCCTGTTGGCCATCTACATGTCTTCTTTGCAGAAATATCTAGTTAGGTCTTCTGCCCATTTTTTGATTGGGTTGTTTTTTTTTTTTAATATTGAGCTGTATGAGCTACTTGTGTATTTTATAAATTAATCCCTTGTCAGTTGCATTATTTGCAAATATTTTCTCCCATTCTGTAAGTTGTCTTTTCATTTGTTTATGATTTCCTCCATAAGAGGAGTAAACAAGAATATCAGAGACATATAGGTTTTCTCCATAAAGGAGATAAGTACATACAATGGAGAAAAGACAGTCTCTTCAATAAGTGGTGCTGGTAAAACATTCTCTAACACAGTATACAAAAATAAGCTCAAAATGGATTAAGGACCTAAATGTAAGACTGGACACTATAAAACCTTTGGAGGAAAACACAGAACACTTTCTGATATCTTTTTAAATTCACCTTCTAGAGTAATGGAGACAAAAAAAACAGATGTGACCTAATTAAACTTAGAAGTTCTATCTCTGACTTAAGAAAGGTAAACATAAAATTAGAAAGGGCTCTGGACCCAGCACACTGAGAGGCACAGTTATATATCTCAGAGTTAAGGAGGATCACAACATACAGAGAAGATAAGCAAGGTCTAGGGACTTGCCCATCTTCATGCCTTCTAATATAACACCCATTTTTCCTTCCCTTCAATAATAACTTCCATATACACCTTTGCTCAGGTATCCAAAGTGGGACACAACAGCTGGGCCTGTCCATGGCTTTTTAAAGGAAAAAAAAAAAAGTAAGTGTCATAAATAGAAAGGTGCTGACAATCACAGAGACAGAAGCATGCAACATTTTTACACATAACTTAAAATAAAGACGCTTAGAGGAGCAGTAAAATGACTCGCTGGGAAATGAGTGAAAAGTACAGCATCTCCAAAACCAGCAATAGCACAACTGTTACTTAAAAAACAGCCATGCTCGTACCAACCTGGTACGGGTATCTGCCTTTTACTAACAAGCCTCGTTTTGCACTAAATCTGACCAGATAAAAGTTTAAAAGGCATCTACTGGGATACCCTTGAATTTTCATATTTGAAAATAAAGGAAATGAACCATGCAGCTGACTTTATTTATAAGGTACCTTTCCTTTCCACGAAACTATAACTTATACTACATGTTACTATTTTAATTTTGTTGCTCCAAAAACTATATAGTTTTAATCTACTGACCACCTTAGTCATTCCAAAGAAATAGGGAGAAGATGGAATTAAATTTAACCCCTTCCTCATTTCATCCACTGAAATTAATTCCCAATGGATCAAAGATTTAAATGTAAAGATAAAACCAAAAGAGAAAATCTGAGAAATCTTTTGATCACTTAACTGTAAGGAAGTCCTTTCAAAATATAACTTTAGGAAGCCTTAAAACCACAAAAGACTGATACATTTTACTACATACAAATTTAAAAATCTTTCCTAACCAAAAAAAATCTTTAATTATGAATAAAGTCAAATGTAATTAATTAAGTAAAAGTATTTGGAACCTATCACAATGGGTTAATTTCTTTAATATATATATAAAAGGTGCCTATAAATCTTTAAAATCCAACAACCCAAAAGATAAAACAGGCAAAAAGCATAAGCAGAATAATAACAGAAAGACATGAAAGAATCATAAAAACATAATAAAACTTATTTACTTCACGCAATAAAAATGAAAAAGAAAAACACAATAAGATCCCTTTTTAATCTATCAGGCAAAGATGTTTTAAAGTTTTAACAAGCTGTTAGAAAGAAGATGTGGGAAAATGAATATACACTGTTGGTAGGAATATACACTGGTATAACCTCTGTGCAGGGCAATTTGGCAAAAAATCATGTGCTTTCATAGATCCTAATTATCTTTCCTTCTAATCATTTATTTTACTCTTTCACTCTCACGGTTCATTTACCTCCCTTCCTCAAGCACTTTCAAACATGAAAAAGGACACTGTAAGCGGCATTTGCACACCGAACACCACGGGCAGTCTGGCTAACGTGAGAGCATCAGGAAGCCCCCTCTTCTAGTCCTGCTGTCACATCAGCCGCCCATCTCTCCACCCCGCACCCCTGCTGCAGGGAGAGCCTCCTCTCCTCCCAAGCTGACTTACGCACCAAGCAGTCATTCAAGATTTGTTCTCACAGTTCTGACTATGCTATCAGAAGCTTTAAAAAAAGGGGGCTTAAATTCAGATCAACATGTGGTGGTTCTTCTCTGTTGTCTTCTTTGGTAGCTTAGGAATATCTAGCAAAAATCAAAGATTGAGGCAGGAAAGAAAGCAAGCAGAGTGGGACCCGTGGCCACCACAGGTTCAGAGGGCCATTCTTACAGACCATAGCGAGGATTTAACCCTTTTTCCTAATTGGTTTAAAATCTGACCAGACTCCACTCCCACTGCAAGCTTTTCAGAGCACAAGTCCCTGACCTAAAACCCAAAAGTAACCATCAGTAGTTTAGAACCAGCTGATTCTTCATCTTCTACTGACCAACAGGCAAAGAAGTTGAGGGAAAGAGAAGTTCCCATTTCTACAGGAAGGGGAAAAGCATTCTTAGCAACAGTTTAAGAATCCCAAAGTATAATGCATTTTTTTTTTTCAAGAGAAAAGCAATTTAAAGTTATAAATCCATTAAAATGTAGAATGAATACATAGTAGAAGAATGGTTGATAATGGATGACATTTGAACTTTATATATGGCACTTTTTACATTACAGGAAAATCTTCAGTCACTGAAAATATCTTAGAAGGATTCTTGTTCAATTTTTCTAATACAATTATTTGATACATATGTATACACTACAGTCAGACACTTCACGTTTAGAATACATAAATTTCTGAAGAGCCATGTGGTATATCTATTGTAGAGTCATATCTGTGAAGCATTCTGTAGACAAGCTTTGTCTACGTGGCTAGAAAATGGAACATTTCATGTTAGAGAAAATTTTGCTTATTAGAAACACATATTTAGAGAGAGCACTAACTCTGAGCTGTTCAAAAGAACTAAATGAAATTTCCCCCCAAAATGGCTACCTGAATATGTCATCACAAAAATATATTCATGAAAAAAAAAGTTTTATTTCAAAAAGTTGACTATAAAACCTAGAAGGAAAAAACAGTTTTCAATAGAACTGGAAGTAAAAAAAAAAAAAAAATAGAACTGGAAGTATCAATATTTTGAAGTCAGACATAGACTCAAATCTCAACCATGTTGTTCACAAATCCTGTGGTTTGGGGAGAGTAACTTAAATTGAGTCTCAGTTTGGTGATCTCTAAAAGAGTAATGACAACCCTGTAAGGTTAATGTATGGATTAAAAATAATGTATGTAATAAAATTATCATATTGCACAGTATAGATAAGACCCCGCCCCCCAGAAATGACAGCCATCATTTTCGTCATAATCGCTGAAGCCATAAAAATGTTTTCATCACTGTGACTATACAAACACTGAAGAGTAAGATAGCTCAATCTTCAAACATTTGGCTTAACTCTGTAATTTTTACCATTATTTAAAAGAGAGTAGTAATTTAGTAAGTAAAAGGAAACCAAACTCAACTAAATTAAGAGGTTGTTTTCTAATTACCT